TTACACATTTACATACATTCATTTAATTTTTTAAAAAGTCATTTATTAAATAAAAATTGCATTCCAGTAACCATTTTTTTAACCGTAATTTAAAGTGACTTACTGGTAGTTCTCTTATTGATTTTGGTATTTTATTATATATTTTAATAGTCATTATATCACAGTTTTGTTGATACAGTGTGGTTCTGCAGATGGGCAGTTTCAACATTGTGGGATCTCTTGATGTGACTTCATTCATATTTGAAAGTTTTGTAAAAAGTTGTGGGTTTTGTTTAACAAATATTCCTACTTCATAAATATACATGGATGTAAGTGTTAATATTTTTAGTTTTTTAAATAATGGTCTACATGTATCTGTTGGTTTTACACCACAGATAGCTCTTACGCATTTTTTCTGTGCTATAAAGACCTTTTTCGACATTATAGAATTTCCCCAAAGCAGAAGCCCATATCTTAAAATTGAACCCACATAACCATGATACGCTATCAGTGCGGTTTGTTCATTGGCCTCTCTTTTTAATCGCCTAAGAGCATATACAAAACTATTTAAACGTTTCCTTACGTAGTTAGTATGAGCTTTCCAGTTACAATTTTTATCCAAGGTAAATCCTAAAAATTTAATTTCATTACATTCAGTCACTTTTTCATTTTTACATTTTATAACAATATTTTTTGGTGGCATGGAATAATTAGAAAATTGCAAAAATTTTGGTCTTAGATATGTTAACATTTAAGTCATTATCCTGAAGCCAAGATACTATACTTTTCACTGTGTTATTGATTACAATTTCATAGTCACTTAATGTTTTTTCATCGTCTGGAATAAGAACAGATAAATCGTCAGCAAACAAAGTACATCGATATTTTGTTATATCAGGCAAATCATTTATATACAAAAGGAACAGCAATGGACCTAAAATGCTGCCTTGAGGAACTCCTGATAAAGTACAACGATAATTTGATGTAAATGATCTAGTCATACATATATTATTAATGCGATTTATCTGGACGCACTGTCTTCTATCTGTAATATAACTTGCTATCCAGTCTAAAGCACGACCCCTAATACCATATCGTTCACATTTGTTTAACAATACTCTATGATTTACATTGTCAAAAGCCTTTGTCATATCAAAGAAAATTCCAGTTATTCGTTTTTTACTGTCAATAAATTTTGTTACGTTACGGATGACAGAAAAGGCAGCCAAAGTAGTTGATTTATTTCTTTGGAATCCATTCTGTTCTTCTTTAATTATATTAAATTTATTGATAAAGTCGATTAATCTTTTATACATTAATTTTTCAAATACTTTAGAAAGTATTGAGTTCAGTGTTATTGGCCTATAATATTTTAATTTATTTTTGTCATCTTTTTTATGTAATGGTTTTATAATAGAATGTTTTAGACGTTTCGGGAATTTTCCTTGTGTAAAAGAAGAATTTATAAGATAAGTCAACACCGGTGCAATTTTTTGAGCAACCAATTTTAATATAAGTGTTGAAATATCATCAAATCCCACCGAGCGAGTATTTTTCAAGGACTTTATTACTTTTATTATTTCATCTTCACTGCAAGGTATTATAAATATGGATGAACATAAATTTTTTATACTTTTATGTTGATTATAACTTTTTGATGTATTTATACCAGTGATAGAGATAAAGTAGTCGTTGAATGCATTAGCAATTTCTTGAGGGTTGTTTATTTTTTTATTTTCGACCTCAATGCATCTTATGTCTTGTCTGTTTATAATATTACATTCCTTTCTACTTATTACATCCCAAGTAGCCTTGCATTTATTCCTTGAATATTTAATAAATCTACTGTTATTTATTCTTTTTGAACAATTAATACATTTGTTTAACATTTTTGCATATTTTAAATATTGTTTTTTATTGTAGCCTTTATTTTTTTTATAAATATTATATCTGAGTTTTCTTTTATATATACATGATAGTTTTATTCCCTTTGTGATCCATTTTACTTTATTACTTCTTTCCTTTATTTTGACTCTTTGTATTGGAAAGCAAAGATTATACATTAAACAGAACATGTCATGAAATGAATCACCTTGAAATGAAGACCTTATTTTTGCAAAGAAACATACCACTGCGCTATGATGGCAGTCAAATATACAAATAAAATCACTTTTATAAGCGACTGTCCTGCGCTGGCGGCGGTGGGCGGGGCGAGTCACGAGCGTCGTCGTACCCATCGCACCGTCGCCGAAGCGCGAAAATTATGCGCCCGCGCACCTTGCGCTGACCACAAAAGAACTGTTGAGCGATATTAGTATAAATATTTTTGTATTATGACAGAATTAGATAATTAGGTTAAGAAATTATTAGGGCAAGAGGGCTGGTTCGTAATTAGCTCAGCGGGTAAGCACAGCGATCCAGCATGTTAATTACTGGTTGTTACAGCATGTTGTTACTTTGGATTAATTTTAATAGATGGCGTTGTAGGTGATATAAATTCCATTGGGTCATGTAGTCAAAATTTAAATCTTCGGCACGGTCTTCAAGAGAGTCCATAGAAAATATTTAAGAAAAATTGGTATAAGGCGTCTCAGTAAGAGCAAAAAAGTCAGAACTATAACTTTTAGACATTTTGTTTGCATATTTGCATATATATTTGTTCCGGAATCATACAAAATGTACTGTATAAAATTATATGTGGTTTACAGAGTCGTATTTCTAAAGATGTAATTTAAAAACTGGTGTACGTTCTATCTTGATACGCCATCTTAGAAGTATTTAATTCCATCGATTTTTCCACTTCGGAAATCTACACGTACGCAGTAGCGAACAAAAACTGGTTTGGTATAAAAAAAAATATTTTCTGCTTTATAAAATTGCATGTTTTCCAAATTGTTTCCTGCTGCAAAGTACCGATCAAGTCGACTCCACTGCATTCCAGTTTTGTTCTCTAGCGGTATCATCTGACACTCTTGTATCTCAATTATCCAGCGTTATCAGTTTATCACTGTTGTATTAACTAAATATGTTCTCACGTGATTCTAGCTAGAACCGTTTTTCGTAGAGGGGGGGGGGGGGAAGGGATTGTTATCAATAGAGTTTGACAGCCCCATTGCTACCAATATGCCTTATTAGGTCGACCTGCACGTGGTTCCCCCTGGAAACCATCGTGAACAATTCTTGTTGAATTCGTCACGATGGGCTAACTGACCTACTTCATCCTCATCTATCATACTTCACTGGTGCCCCGCCGGTGTATACCGATTGCGCGGGTGGGGCTACCATTACATTATCATACATAAAAAAAACCGTTGTTGGTCTATCAACAAAGACCATCCGGAAATTATCAAATTGTTGATTTATATTTCGTACTAGCCTTTTGTCCGCTATTTCGGCATGCGTGGTTTTTTAAAAGTATGAAAATCATTCATTGATTTTATATACAAATTGACCATTTCTAAATGGCATGTAAAGGTGAAACATATACCAGTTTTTATGTTAGACCTTTATAAATACAACTGTGTAAACCGCATTTAATTTGACACAATAGTTTATGCGTGATTTTGGATCAAACATAGAAACTGCAAAAGTTAAATAAAAAATATAATTTTGGCTTTTATTGCTCTTATTGAGCTCTTCTCATATTTTTTTAACATCTTTCATATGCAGATTTCTAGTTACAATTTTAATATAATAAGTACATACCAGAACGGTATTTAAATTTTAAAATTATTTTGTAATTTAATTTTTCAAATAAAATATTCATTCTATATAAAATACATAAATATGCTTATGCTAATTGTCCTTATTTAATGGAATAGTCAGAAGCATTTGTCGATTTGTCTCTTTTTTTTTTGTTATTGTACTATCGATATCGAATGCAATTTCAGCTTTTCAACAAAGCAAGGTTTCTTTTGGGTGTTATCTAAGTAGCAAAGTAAATACATTATTTTTTTCCTAGTTCCTGTTTAATTTTTAACTTTAATAAAGAAAGCAAGGTTAGTTTATATTACAATATTATCATTTTTTTTTTTATTTTTGGTATTTGATTAACTATTTCAGTTATACCTAAAAAGTAAAATGCCATAGACAAAATAACTATTGTGGAACTATATATAAAACATTTTATATAATGTAGCCGACTCTTTGAATAGATATTTAGCTAGAAGGAGATAAATTAAAAAAGAAAAACACAAAGTAGTCGGCCTCTATTTTTATATACAATCACAGACCAAAGATTTAAAAAAAAAAGAAAGGCCTCGAACCCATTGTCTTTCCAAGGAAAAGAGGTATATTAAGGAGCTGTATAGGGGCATTGTTTATTTGCTGATTTGTGGCCAGCACGAGGAATAATAAACGATATGCTAAAATGGTCGGCTCGACCCAGTATTTTATTCACTATTCTCTGTGTACATATATGAATATTAGATTTTATCTTGGTCTAACTTGTTTGTTTTCATGTTTTATTCTCCTTTAGCTGTCAGTCTTGGGTTTGGATGCTTTTTTTTATGTTGTCTCATCGATATAGTTATGTATTTACTGTTTTAGTTATTGGTATCATGATTTTATGAATAAAGAATGACAACAAAATATTAATATTGTCCATTAATTCTTCTCTTTCCGCGTCTAGGGAAAGTAGATAAAGTTTTGTTTGAGAAATCAGTTCAGGGTACGATAGGACTGATATACCTGAAGAAGGTAAAAGCCCTTAAAATAATAAAAAAAAAAGATATTAGTATCGTTTTTTAATCAATAAAAGTGACAAACAATCATACGACCCCCTTTTTATTACATGTTTACTTAGTCTTAACATCTGTAATAAAAGATTTACCACTTAGGTATATAACGAGATCAGTTGGCCCATCATAATCAATAGGCCAGGAATTCAGTGTGATGGTTTCCAAGGGGGACCACGCAGAGGTCGACCTGATAGGGTATATTGCTAGCTATAAATCCCTTTCCGTCCTTAATTAGTATACTCACAATTGCACATTTATGTATAATTTAATTATTTTTTCCAGGTCAAGTGTACAAAATACAAATATGCTCGCGATGGAGTCCAACTGCAACGGTGAGGCGCAGGAATTGAACCTTGTTATTTGAGACAGAGAGTCCAATCCTGAGAACAGGACGGACGAAACCATGTTGAAAGAGCGGGAAAGTTCGGAGGGGTCTCCGGGAGCGCCGGACGAGTGCGCCGGCTGCGGGGGGAGGATACAAGATAGGTAAGGCTTGGGACACACCGGAGTCGTGATCGGTAAAATTAAACAAGTATATTTTTTTCTTTTTTCGTTACATATTTGGCAAACACGACACTGTTATAATTGTAATTCTTACTAGTATTATAAATGTGAAAGTGAGTCTGTTTCTTCGATAGCTCTCAGTGTATTAACATCTTAATACTTTGTTATGAAATTTAGTTCTACTTAGGAAGAACAAACACTTTTTATATTCGTCAATAATAATATCTATCTTATTACGAGAACGAAGTCATGGGTAAAAGTAATTAATAAACTGTTGAAGCCGTTTCTGCGGTTCCCTTGGAAACCATCGTGGTTAATTCCAAGTAAATCCATCACGATTAGTCAATTGACCTGACTTCCTCCTCACATACTCGCTGGTACCTTGTCAGCGTACACCAATAGTGCTAGCGACATCAACGGTCAGCAACGTGCGCGTAATACCTCTGGTATTGCAGGCGTTCATGGACTGCGGTAACCGCTTACCATCAGGTGGGCCGTATGCTTGTTTGCCACCTCAGTGGTATAAAAAAAAAGGTGAGGATGAAAGCGGGTCAATTAGCTCGTCGTGATAAATACAGCAAGAATTAACCAGGATAGTTTCTAGAGGGAACCACGTGGAGATCTACCTGATTGGTACATCGCTAGTAATTCTTTCCTCCATACCTCTGTATGATTTTCATAATCTCTCTAGATTAGCAGATTATATCTAAAGGTTTCCAAGTAATGATCAATCGTGCAGGTATTACCTCCTAGCCGTGGACCGACAATGGCATGGCTCTTGTCTCCGGTGCTGCGAGTGCCGGCTGCCCCTTGACACAGAGCTGACTTGCTTCTCCAGAGATGGGAACATCTATTGCAAGGAAGACTACTACAGGTGAGTCACTAGATTTTTATCTTTAGGATTTAGTAACCACGGTAACATTGTTTTTAGTAAAATAAAATTTTTTTACACGGCAACACGTTCGAAAATTTGTCATTCGCAGTTTGGGTGAACGATTAACACTAGGCTTCTAGCAGCGGTCTAATAATTTGTCTGAAGATGCCTCGTTTCGAAGAGATGGAACAGTTGTCGCAAAACGTGCGTGCATAAAATGGAAGTCGGAGATTAATGGCTAACATGAAAGTTTGTGGAACTTCTGGTAATAATAGTGGCGGTAAATTTTCCAGTGTGGTATTACATACATATCTACTAATAGTAGCAGAATTAAACCTATTCTAATAAAAATATCAATTATATGAGCTTCCGTAAGATGACACCTAGTAAAGTATACTATATTACACTGCACTAACGATCTATTCCAGCTTTGCTCGGGTAGATAGAATTTTCCAAAATAGTTTAAGTTATTCTCTGATAATGTAAATTTTTATAGGTGAAAGAATTAATAAAATCGATTGAGTAATTTTCAAGTTTGTCCATTATAAACAACCGATCAATCAAATGTTCTCTGTTTATAAAATTAGTATATATAAAATCTGTCTGTTTGTCATTATGATATTCATGTGATATTCTATACTCATCAAATCCATCCTTTCCCTTTCACACAAAATATTTAAGAGTTATGAGTAGAGTATTTACTGGGTACAAAGGAATAACATCTGAGACCTCAGGAATGGCAACGCATGGGGGGTATCATGGGAGAAACAGTATGCTCTGTTATGTCCATGGTACTGCTCATGTCTATAGGCGACGGCAACCACTTTCCATCAGGTGGGCCGTCAGCTTGTTTGCCATTCTAAGTTGTATAAAAAAAAATCTTTCATGATTTCTTCTTTTTAATTCTTCGTTTGCGGTTCTTTGTAATATTTGATACGGTATTAATATGATATTACAGAATCAGTAACAGGTAACTTATGTGAATAAAAAATTATAAAAATTGTTTAATATTATTCATGAATGCTGTATGCGAATTATGTGTTAATTTAAAAACGATCATTTATTTATTGCTCTGCGAATTAAAAAAAATATACTTGTTATCTATAAAACTATATATACATAAAGATTAATTAATCGTATACAGAAGTAAGTAGGTAGTATATATATTTTTTTTATAGGTGATAATGAAATAGTAACCCCACCCGCGCTATCGGTATACACCGGCGGGGTACTAGTGAAGGATGATAGACGAGGATGAAACAGGTCAGTTAGCACATCGTGACGAATTTAACGTGAATTGTTCACGATGGTTTCCAGGGGGAACCACGCGGAGGTTGATCTGATAGAGTGTATTGCTAGCAATGGGTTCATTAGACCCCATTACTAACAATCCCTTTCCCCCCACAAACGACTGTATTAAGTTTGAAATAAATAAACTACAAGTATTATACGATGCGGGCATATTGCTAGCAATGGGGCTGTCAAACTCCATTGCTAACAATCCCTTCCCCCCAGTAGGTAGTATATTAAGCTCGCGATATTGTCTGTGCAATTGAAATATGGATTGATCAGGATAAAAAATAGTTATAAAATACTTCATGATTCTTCATAATACATGTAGCACAACAATTGCCTACTAGTGTGCTAAATTTCATGATTATTAGTTGAGCCTTTAATGTGTCAAAGAGTAAGAGACAAACATACTATCACTTATTAGTGGTCTATGGAATATGGGATTTTCAAAAATAATTTATAGCGTATGTTACTCTGTGATAAAGCTTTCTATAGCTGAAACAATTTTTGAAATCAGTTAACAAGTTTTTGAGTTTATTAATTACAAAAAAAAAAACAATGAAATGAGAGGGCCTACCATGAAATATTTTCCGAAATTTCGGGAAATACGAACGAAATAGAAATTTGATGTTAAAGTTACATAATACATGCCGTTTAAAATTATTAAAAATATTAATATATCGTTCCTCTAGACTATTAGGATAGGATTTATGATGAATAAAATGTTAAGCTCCATTTACTGGGTCGATTTAGGTACAAACAAAAACACGTAATTGAGCCCGAAAATTCGGAATTTCATTTAATGGTAGGCCCCCTGTTCTTTTTATAATGTCAGTATACATAACATAATATGCTGTGTAGTCTTGGCATAGAATGGGTCACCCCTTCCTTTTCTGTAGGTGTCGTAAGGGATAAAGGGAACTTAATGATTGAGGGACGAGCAGCAGCGTTCCTCTTAAGACACCACTGAATTCTAACTGCGGTTGCCAACCCGCTTGCCAAGTGTGGCACTACTATTGGCAAAACCCTCCTTATGGGGTAGATCTATATTTAGCAGTGGAGAGTTAATGACTAATTTAATTAAAAAAAAAAAAAAAGAAAATATAAAGTGTTTTTTTCATCTTATACTGTTTTTTATACTTTAAAAATAGTTCAAATAGTTTTCTAATCAAACCGAAAAGGTTTTATGTCGTGGACGATCACATTTCACAATATTGGTATAATTATGCTTACGATTGCATTAAATACGTATATTATTAATAACTTTATGTAGTTTTAGTACAAAAATTTTGTCTAACCGTATAGTAAACAGTACGGACATACACCGGTAAACAATTAAGGTAGGTACTTGTCGTCCACACCCGTAGATTCCCACAGCTGTCAGATCGTAGCCGCGCTGAGGTCGATTGAAATTTTTAAATGTGCCCATTTTCAACCGACTTCAAAAAGAATGAATTCAATTCGGTTTTATTTTTTTATGTTTGTTACCTTATAACTATGTCAGTTATAAATCGATATGAAAATCCTTTTTTTATCTGAATATCCTATACTGGGACCGATCTGTTTAATTAGTCTCGTAGAAGTTTTATCAAAATCTGTTCAGTAGTTTAGTTTTTAAATAAAAATACTAGTTATTTTTATTTGGAATTATTTTGATTCTGTATTCATGACTAAATTAAAGTGTTGATATACTTCCCCATTACATTATATTTATTTATATTTTATAATAATTTGAATAAAATTTCCATTATTTATATTATATTATTATTCGTATTGTTAATATCTTTACTCATTTAATAATTTAATTATATTTTAATGTTTGTCAAACACAAGGCATGCTGTGGTTGCCTATAAATGTAAGAACAGTGAGATCTGATCTGTCCAGCAATTCTTGACACCAAAAGTTAGTTGGCGCGACCAGGATAAAAATATTCTCTGACCGGGATAAAAAACAGTCTGTATCCTTTTACATTTAATATAATATGTGTATACCAAATTTCGTACGGATTGTTTGAGTCGTTAGGGTGCTAAAAGGTGACAAAAAAACTCACATATTTGTAACATTAATAAGCTTTTACCCGCGACTTCGTCCATGTCACCGGGATATGTTTACTGACCGGGTTATATTTTTTCTATTCTATATATATATATATATATATAATTAGTTAGTGGATAATATAAATAAACAACAATTACAAATGCTTGCTTGTTATTTATAAAAATATAAACACTCACCTTCGTACCGAATCGTTGATGATAATTATGTTAAGTGTCAACTGACAGGATTTCGGGGCCCCTCTGCCCACCCCTGCTTGTTTGCGCCGCGAACATATGGTGTAATGTGTTCACGTTAGTGGATATGTCAAGATGACGTTGATTACTCCTGGATTGACTGTAATGACGTCGCTTTTTTGATATTTCAAAACTTATTTGTTTTTATATATTTTACTAGCACCAGAGCCACAATATTTATAAGTTTGTAGTAATACTTAGTATTACAACAAACTTATTTATTGAAACAAATTTGTATGGAAACCGATTTATTAAATAAATAAACTTTTATAAAAAAAAAAACAGTTGGTATTACGTATATGAATCCTGTTTATTTACAAGTATATCATTTACTAGCTGCCCGCCACGACTTGTACCTTTGTGCTAATGTAGAAAATGAAATCACGTATCATTCACTCGCTTTTTTATATATAAATTTTTAACCCATTTATTTACTACTTTTTTGTAAGATTTTACAATAATAAATAGTAATAGTAAAATAGAGTATTCAAAATTGGATGGAGTTATGAGGTAATAAACTTAAAAAAAATAAAACCTAATTAAAAACGGCCTTTTTTAAAGTCGATTGAAAAGTATATTAAAGTATATCAGTTTTCCACTATTTGTCACATAACCTTAACCTACTTAGAAAAAATGTTGGTGTGTAAAAGAAAAATTTTTAGGCACAAATAATACAAATAAAAAAGTGTTACTCGCTATTTGGTAGTCAGTAGATTCCATTATAATATTGCTTTTTTTTATAACAATACCACCATATTACATCTAAATTAAATTGTAATAAAGAGGAAAGATTAAAATTTCGGTATTATGAGCCGGTAATTATTTATCCACTGCTGAATACAGGCTTCCAGGGTTTTTGCTAGTAGGTACGACTTTGGCAGCTACAACCAGGTTTTGATAGTTTAAGAGAGACGTTGCTGTCAATCCCTAAACCTTTAAATTCCCTTAACCGTCTCTTACAACACCCATCGAAAGGAAAGGATGGCTCATTCTATGCCGGAACCATAGTCAAAAATCGATTGCTTGGGTACCTCTGTCCCATTCGTGTTTCAACCGTGAAGCAGTTATGTTTGCATGACTGTTTCGGTTTGAAGGGTGGGATATGGCGTGAATTTACTGGGTACAGAAGAATAATGGTATAATGGGCGAAACGGTATACTCTGTTATGTCCATGGTACTGCTCATGCCTATAGGTGGCGGTTACCACTTTCCGTCAAGTGGGCCGTCAGCTTGTTTGCCATTCTAAGTTGTATAAAAAAAGAAAGTTTTTTTTGCATGTAAGTAATTGATAAATTCAACTGATTTTAAAAATTCTTTCGCTTTTAGAAAACTGCATTATCTGCAATCCATACAAAGTCGCGTGTAAAGACTAGTATAAATACTTAATATATATCCACATCAACAGAAAAACGTTTTAAAAATGACCTTCCATGGAATGTTACGCCTATCACGTTAGATTCTCTTTTGTTCCAGATTGTTCTGCGTAAAGAGGTGCGCGCGTTGTGGTAACGGCATCACAGCTAACGAGCTGGTGATGAGGGCCCGCGAGATGGTGTACCACCTCACTTGCTTCACGTGCGTGGCGTGCGGCACCCTGTTGTCAAAGGGTGATGTCTTCGGTATGAGAGACGGACTTGTCTACTGCCGGCCTCATTATGACACTGCATGTTTGGACGACTATTGCGATGAGGAAGCCAACAATGTTTACAGGTAGGGATATATATTATTTTATATATTTACATAATTACGTATAGATGTTTCCCCATACATATTTCAAACAGCAATACACTCTTTTAGTTCGTTTTTTATTCAAGCGAATGAAAAACACAGATCTTCCTTCACGATGGGCTAACTGACCTGCCTTTTTATTCTCAATCACCTTTCACTATCGAATACTATATTGAAGGGTCAATAGTGCTCCGTCAGCGTATATTGTTATTTTTATTCATTAAAAAACCTGCCATCGTTATTTTATAAGAGATGGCGCCAGTTGTCGTATGCTTATGTCAAAATAAATAGGTAATATTATTTTTGTTGTAATATACATACGACTTAAATCGTTAATAGATAAGTAATGCACTGTTACCGATATGGTGAAAGAAATACTCGTCTTGGCCCCATATTACTGACCATAGAATAGAGTCTAACGAGGCTGAAGGAGAGCTGATGTAGTGAGGTGAAGTGAGCTGCGCAAGTAATCACTGGGATTAACTTGTTTTATCATCTATGTTGTTGTCATCAGCTGCAGACAGTCACTACGTACGCACTAGTCCTATATATGGTATCCTGGATGTTTAAAAATTTTGTGTCTTTCTTTGTTTGTTTAACTATATTCGTACTTATTAATATAATTGTAACTAATGTAAGAACAATTGATAAGACGGTCTTTACAAGAGCAATAGGAGCCAAAACAATATTTTTTAGGGATTTTATCTGATTGTTTGTTTTGGCATCACGCAAGAACTACTTCACCAATTTGGATACGGTTTCCACAGTTTTGCTCCTAAAGGTCAAACTTAAAAATGGTATATGTTTTATTACTTATTTGATATTTTTATATACTTTTGAAGTCCAGGCGTGCCAAGTAGCGGGCAAAAGCTAGTTTTTTTTATATACTTATTAGTATAGGTGAAAGAATTTTCAAAAACAGTAATTTTTGAGGTTTGTCCATTATAAACAATTTTCTTCGTCATGCCTACGGCCAAGGAGTGGTGAAACTTTCTCCCTGCTTATGATTCTCCATCCAAATATAATCTGCACCAATTTAAGGCAAGTGTGAATAGACTATTTTTGGGCCTGAGAGCCCCATATTAGACTACATTATCACTTTCCATCAGGTGAGATCTTGATCAATCGTGGGACCCTTCAATAGTAAGAAAAAAATAGAACTTTTTTACTTATTAATATAAGTATAGAACGATTTTGACTTAACTTAATGATAATAGCTTTACGGGCTTTTCAAACTTTTTTTTTTAATTATATTATATTATTTTTTTATTAATTTAAATTAAGATAAAGATTTTTAATTAAGCATATTTTTCTTTTTGAAGTCAATTGAAAATGTTCATGTTTATAAACGGAAATTACTACTTGCCATCAGACAAGACTTTTTTTATTATTGTTAAGTAGAGATCAAACAAAACATATTATATAACAAACAAAAAAAAAATATATAAATTTGACAGTTCTAATTTTTTAAATTATCTATTGTTTCATAATAATCGATCATAGACTAGAAGGCTAATGAAAAAAGAGATATGTTAATAACTAATAGCAGAATTATTAAAATAATATCCAAAATTTGCATTATCATTTATAAATTGTATTATCTATATAATTACTATTATATAAATGTAAAATAAATAAAAATTAGGTATATCGATTAAATTACGAAAATACATAATATTCAGTGAATTGAATGAAAATACTGAAAATAAAATGAATTACGAGTATTACTCTCTCATAAATTGAACTTAGTTGGGAAAATTCTGTAATTAATTTATTACGTAAATTCAACATTAAAATTATTATTAAACTACCTATCTTTCATAACTTTGCACTCATAAATCATTATTCTATGTCTTAAATTGGGATATAATCTACCTGTGTACCAAATTTCGTTGAAATTCGTTCAACCGTTTAGGTGTGATTGTGTGACAAAATCACAAACACCCTAACATCTTTACAAACTTGAACATTTATAATGATATTATTAGTAAGATATAACTATTTATAAATTAACATAATTTTAACTATGTCAGACGGATGTTGCAATCATATGAGTAGATATGCAGGTACGTAGATATATTTGTAAAAATGTTTAGATATTTGCCACTAAATTAATTACACTTAAACGACTAGAGTCCTCGATAGATTGTAATGAAATTTCATACGCAGATAGATTATAATCTACATTAACAGGGGGAAAGGGATTGTTAGCAATGGAGTTTGACAGCCCCATTGCTAGCAATATGCCTTATTAGGTCGACCTCCACGTGGTTCTCCCTGGAAACCATCGTGTACAATTCTTGTTGAATTCGTCACGATGGGCTAACTGACCTACTTCATCCTCACCTATCATCCTTAACTAATGCCCCGCCGGTGTATACCGATAGCGCGGGTGGGGTTACCATTCCATTAACATCCATTAAAAAAAAAACTACATTAACACATACGATAGAACTTATGTTTAAATTCGTAAAAATTCGAAACGACTGGTATTATTAAATATCGAAATGTTTCTGTCATAACAGGTGTCAAGATATGCACAGCGAAGGTGATTCCCCTTCGCAGTTTTACTCCGGCGGTCCTAGTCCCAAAGGTAGACCGAGGAAGAGGAAGCTAGCCCAGGGCTCCCCTGAGGACATGCAAGTCCAGACCATGAGGATGGCCAGCACAGCATTAGGTAAGTTCTTACGCACACAAGTCTACTTAATACTTTGCAATGCGAATTCATATTGCGAATTTAATACCTTCAATGTAATTAAAAAGTATCTCTTAATTAAAGGTACTTTAAAAATGTTCTATACAAAATACTTAATATTACCTCTTAAGTTCCTTCCTTTGAGAATTATGTTGGCGGCATCAATGGACGCTCCAGACAGCGTGATTCGAACGTTTACCTACGTGATATAGCAAAAAAAATTTCGATACATTTTTAGCAGGTTACATCAACATCTGGAACATTCGAATTATAAACGATTACTTATATATTTACATCCTTATTCATAAGAACGTCAATCGTCTCACAAATCTATTTAAGCTATGGAAACGTTTTATTTTTTTTTAACTAAATTCTTAATTTAAAAAAAAAAAAAACAGTGATAAGATACTTCAATAACTAAAATGTGTGTATGTTTTTAGTTTTTATGAATAAGAAGGTTATTATGAAGCAAGTATAGTATTCGTTATGTAGGTGTGTCGTTCATATAGAGTTATTTGTTTGTAATGTAAATCATTCTATTTATTTATTCTTTATTGTACACAAAAAATTACAACATACAATATATATAAAATAAAGATGTACAACAGGCGAGCTTAACTCTGTAAGAGTTCTCTACCAGCAAACCCTGAGTGGAAAGGAGTTTTGATTACTAGCGGGCAGTATGCGTACAATAATAGAAGGAAACATTATAGATGTTTCTATTAAAAAATAATAAATATGTTGACATATATAAGTAACTCATATAATTAAAATCAAAATACATACATATCTGTATACAATAATACATATATACATAAACATAAAATATCTCTTCACATACAAAATACGTACATATACATACATAGACATAATAAGTTTTTGAGGACAGATTATCATCATATCAGCCATTTATTCACTGTTGTTTAGTTCATTCATTTAGTTCATTTAGTTCATTAGAACATTAGTTCACTGCTGAGCATAGACCTCCTTCTATTGAGAGGTTTTGCCAGTAGTTGTCAGTAGTCGACAAGTGAGTTGGCAACCGCAATTAGGCTTTTGGTGATGTTTTAAAAAGAACGCTGCTGCCCATCCCTCGACTATTAAGTTCTAGACTATTAAGTAAGATTTATTTATTTTTACTATAACATTTAAGTCGATTGGTACACATGTATGACTATAACTACTAATGAACTGTCAGTTTTCTCATACTGGGTTTTGCTCAAAGAAATCTCTATTGGAGATAAGCTCGCCTTTGTGCACTATTATGTTTGTTTTCATATTTCAATAACCTTTTGTGTACAATAAAGAATAAGTTCCCTTAGCCGCCTCTTACGACACATATAGGAAAAAGGGTCTTAACTTAGTAATTATACGTAAAAGGCGAAATGAAGAAACAATATATGTTAATTATTATATTATAATATTATATTATAATTATAATATTATAATAATTCTAATACTTTTAAAATCTTAATTTTTTTTCAAAATTCATATTTAGTCCTCAGTTTCTCAATAATTAGATGTCTATCAAAAGATTATTTTGTTGAAGGTACAAATTGCTCCTTGTACAGGAAAACGTATCTTGGAGTGTACTTAAAATTAAACTTAAAAGTACTTAAAAATGTATTAAATAATTTCTCTGCGCACTTATGGCAAAATGCATTCGTCCTAAGTGCAGGAACATGGCAAGCTACTTATGAATATAAATAGTTGCAGCCGTTGAAGCTAGACATTCGGTCCCTGCATGTAACAGTGTTAATATACATATTTCATCGAAGCACGGTCGGTTAAAATTTAGCAGAAACCTCGGAGGGAAAGCACTGGTGCCTTCCCCGATGTCAATTCATCCCGGCTCGTAATCACTACTAATGAATAGACGACGCGCTATCAAAAATGCTTATGTCTCTCTCTTGCGCGGTGGAGAGTCTTAAGCAAGAGCGAGAGGCCTATGTGTTGGGGCGTTGGACCCTCAGCAGGGGTCGCTCGGATTATTCTTTACAGCGTCGAAACGCGAGGCAGTCATTGAGGTGAATTCAGCATTTGCTACTACGGTACGATTAATCATGGCATGGCAGCGTGAATGGACCATGAGTCGACAGTTGACATGTAACTATATCTAAGATTATGTTTAAATTATTTTGAATGTGTTTAAGCATTATAAATTTCGTTTATTTTGTGCTCCTTCCATTTCAAAGATGCTTCTAAAATGTCTCCGGGACTGTTTTCTATTTACAAGATGATTATTGGGATCTGAATTTGTTAATATAATTTTAGAGCCGAGAACATTGAATGGAAAATGTAAAGGTGGAAATTTGTATTTCAATCAAGAATGCTTGTCTTAGCAAGGGGATGAAAAGGGTTGGTTTAGTACAAATGAATGTATTCGGATAGAAAAATATTTTGTTTATAACTGAGAATAATCTTGTATATATGTAAAACACGTGAATTAGGTAGAAGCTCATATTATTAGGTAAATATAATACATACATATATTACTTGAAAAATTCATTTACTTAGACTGATCTATAATGATCAGATATATTGTGAATTTTCTATTTGAGAGAAAAGTCAAGTCAAGGTCATATTTATTCGTATACATACATGACATGAGTAATGAATATGAATAAAGCAAGAAATTACTATTTATTTGTAGTATTTATAAGGATAAGTAATGTTTGTCAGTTTGTTCTCTTTACTTACCTTACAATTAAAGGAATTGATGTAAAGATAGAGTGGATCAATATGGTCATACTCAATTAGAGAATTTATCGCAACACGATTGGGTACTTATCGATAATACGTTCCGTTCCAATATACGCATTTGATACTTTATTAGATATTTCAGTTAGATCACATTTTAGATTTAAATTAAATATATTTATTATGTTTTATTTTTATTACTTGCATTATTCAATAATATCTGTAACATCATTAATCAAATATTCTATTATCTATCTCTTTACGATACGCTTATTGTTAGCACTATCTATGACAATGATTTCACATTTTCACATGCTTGAGATCTTTATCCCGCCAAATCCGCCATGTTGGCACAACAGCGCCATTTATGCCGGGCGTGACGGCAGTAAAAAGAACTAAGGGTGCTCGAAAATACGTGCCATATCAGAGAATCGGATTATCGATTGATGTACTCGTATATTGTAAAGTCGTAATAATCGTGTTTGGTTATCAAAATAACAAGGCTACTTAATAAAAAAATTATGTATGACTTTTGAATACGCTATGCTATATCTATGGTAAAACTAGTGAATAGGTATTTCTAATAGAATTATGGCAAAGAAGCAGAAAGTTTGCATTATAAATAACACCATAGATATAGCATGAATATTGTTAACCTTAACGACTTATTGTGCCATTTTAATAACCCTATGCAATCGTCTCGGCAAGAGGCTTATACCAAAAGCGTTCGTTTTGATGCAACCATTTTCTGTACAAGTAGAGTCGATTCTGAGGCGTCGTTTCTTCAAATCTTTAAAATTAAAATTGATATTATAGCGAAATCTTACTATAAAGGACCAATATGAACTAATTCACTATAATTTTTGTTTACGACGGAACTTTCGCGAAATTATCAATTTGAAATATTAGGTTAAGCTACCACTTAGTTTAGAAAAATGCAGCTACACGCCGGTACGTTTGTTAGCACAGAATTTTATCAAGTGGTAACTGAAAAGGCTAGGAAATTAGGAAAGCGACATCTCTGACATGATAGATTATTATTTAAAAACTTTATATTAACTTGAATTAGGATTTAATTAGGCACTGCAAAAAAGTAGATGTCACCATCTAGATGGCGCCATGTAATATATCCAGAAACATTTATTTTTGGTCTATATTTTCCATATAAGCTCTAGTGTGTGGGCAGAAGCCATCGAATGCTAATGGTTTAACCTTTCCCAGTTTTTTGATTTGACATGTCATTGCATTTCTGGCATTTCATTATTGTTAAGGTATGCAATTTATTTTTACATAAAAGGAGTAAAAAACGTAATGAGGTCAGGTTCAGATACTTATTTATTCTGTTACCTAATAGGTGATTATTGTGGGCGATATTGGTTTAATTTTTTTTTATTTTCTCTATATATGTTTATCTATTTTTTATGTATTTGGTAACTTATAACTTGAAAATAAAAGTATATATATTTGTTCTATAATTTGTGATGTAAATTGTATATGTTCCTTTACGTGTATTTTTTTTTACATTTTGACTAATGTTATGAAGAGAAAAAAAATGTTGTTACTGCTTGTTTGTTTGTAATGAATAAACTCAAAAACTATTTAATCGATTTCAAAAATTCTTCTTCACCTGTAGAAAGCTACATATTCATAATGTTTTAGCAAAAGTAATATGGTTGTATTTTATTTACAAAAAAAAAACCGTGTGGATCCGAATTCGGATCGCTAGATTTTGTTTTTAATATAATATAACCTGTCAATTCTCCTATCTATATATATATCCTTTTTGTAATATGGATATATTACGCCGACCCCAAATGGTTGGTATAAGGGTAGGAAGATGATGATAACCTATCTATTCAATTAAATAAAATAAAGTACTTTTACTCTGAAATTCAATCAGTAAAATTCAAATTAAAGCATTCAAATTCCACGCGGATGATTTTTGTGAATAACACAATAACTAAATGTGTACATACTCGTATAATTATTTCTGACATATTATATGCTGGAAATTAATTAGTTCAACATTTCTCCCAGCAGATGTATGACCCTTCACGCGTAACAACATTAAATGCAATATTAAATTAATCTAATTATAAACTTATTAAACGAGACCTCGCATTGAGGTAGGAATGACATTCCGTCCTTTATCTACGGTACCATCAAAACCAACCAAAGATATTTTCGTGTGTGTCTTTACCCATAATTATTTCTTATTTGACATATTAAATATTGAATTGCATATGATAGATATTTTTGATTTGTTTGACCACTGTAACGTG